TTATTGTTGCATTTTGATTGAAAGTTTAATAAAAGAAAATGCAGAGAAAAGCCTGCGTGATTTATTTGAAGAGACTGAAAGTTACAAATAGTCTAGATTCTTATTTTATATTATTTTATTTTTTATTTTTTTGGTCTTTTTTGAGACAGGGTCTCTCTGTAGCCCCAGCTGTCCTGGAACTCACTCTGTAGACCAGGCTGGCCTTGAACTCACAGAGATCCGCCTGCCTCTGGCTCCCAAGTGCTGAGACTACAGGCATGCGCCACCATGCCCTGCTGGATATGAATTTTAACAATTTTCAAACCCTGTTATGATTGGACTGATAAAAGCACCAGTAATGGGGGGACTGGTCTATGTCTGCTGAGCATTACGACGTGCTTCACCACTGGGGAAAATTGCATAAAGGATTCAGGGAACTCCATGTGCTATTTTCCTCCCTCTTGTGAGTCAAAGAAAAATTTAGGCCAGGCATGGTTACACATGCCTTTAATCCCAGCACTTGGGAAGCAGAGGCAGGTGGATCTCTGTGAGTTTGAAGCCAGCCTGATCTACATAGAGAGTTCCAGGTCAGCCAGAGCTACATAGTGAGACCTTCTCTCAAAAAAAAAACAAAAACAAAAACAAAAACCAACCAAACACAAAAGTAAATAAAAGCAATTTAAAAATGGTACTTAAAACACACACAACAACAACAATCTGCTTTCTGTGTGCCAAGCAGCAGAGGTCAGTGTTAATTGATACCTAGACATCCTATTGTGATGCTAGAGAATGTCAAAGGTATAGGAGAAGCAAGTTCCAGAGGGTACCCATCCCTACAGGAAGCACAGCTGCTTGCACAGCAGACTCTTCCTCCTGAAAACAGGTGCCATAAGACATTGGTACCTTCAAGCTGCTGAGGAAAATAACTGTAAACCCAGCTTCATGATGGTTAACCACTGCATCGCTTGACAGACCATGTGATCATGCCATACACACTCTTCATTTAAAGTAGTTGGTGCTTAAACTTTTTGGTCTTTATACTTTGACCTCTTTCTATTCTTAAAAATAATAGAGCACCTCAAAAAAATTTCATTTATGTAGATTTTATCTACCAGTATTTACCATAGTAGAATTTTAACTCTCATGTAAGTTTAAAACATTTTTTATTTTAAAATAAGTTGTAAATATGTTGCTTCTCAGCAAATTTTTTTTTGGTCTTTTTGAGACAAGGTTTCCCTATAGCCCCAGCTGACCTGGAACTCACTATGTAGACCAGGCTGGCCTTGAATTCACAGAGATATGCCTTCCTCTGCCTCCTGAGTGCTGGGACTAAAGATGTGTGCCACCATGCCTGACGTTAGTATACTTTTTTTTGTTGTTCTTTTTGAGACAGGGTCTCCCTGTAGCCCCAGCTGTCCTGGAACTCACTATGTAGACCAGGCTGGCCTTGAACTCACAGAGATCTGCCTGCCTTTGCCTCCTGAGTGCTAGGATTAAAGGCGTGAGCCACCACGCCTGCCCTAGCATACATTTTTATTTGATTTTTTTTTTCTTAAGTTTTTATTGCCTCTTGAAGAATATTAAGGGGAGAGAGAGAGAGAATGTGTTGGTGTTGGTATGTGTGTGTGCATGCTTGTGGAGGCCAAAGGACAGCCTTTAGTGTCAGTCTCCAGGAGCTGTTGTTTTTTGAGACTGTCTCACTGACCTTTTTGAGACTGTCTCACTGACCTGAAGCTTACCTGATTAGCCTAGGCTGATTGGCCAGTAGTCCCTGGAGTCTGCCCACCACCACTGAGTTTACAAACACATACACCCACACCTGACTCTTTTCATGAATGCTGAGGGCAGAGACAGGAGGATCCCAGGGTCTTGCTGGCCAGCCAGTCTAGCCAGTTTGGTGTCTCAAAAAATAAGGTGGAGAGGAATAGAGGAGCATATCCAACATCAACAGCTGGATTCCCCAGACACATGTACCACACCCGTGCCTGCCTGTGTGCACACATACAACTACTGGCCCGTAAAAGAAGAAAATACACCTTTCTGAACAGCCAGGGAAAATAGGGAGTGAAAGCTTATCAGTGAAAGGTCAGGAGGGAGGGAGTGAAGAAGCAAGGTCCTGCAGTGGTGCTCATGCTCCTGACACTGGGAGGCTGAAGCCAGAGGACTGCATCAGACTTCAGACTAGCCTGAGCTACACAGTGAATTCAAGTCTAGCTTGTTTCTCCAGTGTGAGACCCTGTCTCAAAAACATACAAAAATAAATAACACTGGGCTGGAGAGGTGGCCCTCAGTGGTTAAGAACACTGGCTATTCTTGCAGAAGACCTGGGTTCGAATCCCAGCACCCACAGGGCAGCCAACAACCATTCGTAACTCCAGTTCCAGGGGATCCAACACCCTTTTCTGCCCTCCTTGGGCATTGCACAACACGGGTATACTTACATACATGCAGGTAATACATGTATACACATAAAATAAAAATAATCAAAAAAAAATTTTTTTGGTCTTTTTGACCAAAATATTTTTGAAAAAATAAAACTGTGGCCGGGCGTGGTGGCGCACGCCTTTAATCCCAGCACTTGGGAGGCAGAGGCAGGCAGATCTCTGTGAGTTCAAGGCCAACTTGGTCTACATAGTGAGTTCCAGGACCAAAAATAAATAAATAAATAAATAAATAACAAAACTGATAGAAGTTGGTTTGAGAGATGGTTCACCGGTTATGAGCACTGACTGCTCTTGCAGAAGACTTGGGTTCAGTTCCCAGCATCCACATGACATCCGTAATTCCAGTTTGAAGGGATCTGATGCCCTTTTCTGGCCACGAGAGATTTGTACACACTTACGTACACGAGGCAAAACACTCATACACATAAAGTAAAAGTATATATGTTTTAAAAAAACATTCAAAAGGTCTGGAGAG